AGTGGACCTAGGGTTTTTCAATTAGAGAAGGCTCTTAGCACGATTGATCAAGGTTCCATGTCTGTGACTCAGTATTATAATGTGTTCAAGTCCTTATGGGATGAGTATGTCATGTATAGGCCTATTTTTCGTTGTACTTGCGGTGCTTTTAATTCATGTACTTGCAATATCTTTGATGCTATGACTAATGCTCAACACCATGATTCAGTGATGAAGTTTCTTGTTGGTTTAAATGATTCCTTTTCCCCATTGAGAAGCCATTTCCTGTTATCCACACCATTACCTTCCCTGTCTCACGTTTATTCATTGCTCCTTCAAGAAGAATCCAAGAGAGCCTTGTCGAATATATCTACTCCTTCAGATTCCCTTGTTATGCTTGCAAAAACAAATCACCCTCAGTCCAAATTTCAAAAACCAATCCCCAAAGACAAAAAGAAGGTAAAATGCTCTCATTGTGGTTATAATGGCCACACTTCTGATAAGTGTTACCAATTGATTGGCTATCCTCCTAATTGGCCTCATTCCAAAAACCACAAACCAAATCCTTCTGCCAACATGACTCACACTGAATCTGTTGAACATAATGCATCACATTCCCTTACTAATGATCTCTTGTATGAGTTCTTAGAGTTTAAAAAGTCTCAGGATGCAAGAAACAGTGGTCTAGGATCATCTTCAAATCCTGTTGTTGCTACTGCTGTACAAGATGCTTCAGGTACATCTACTCCTTTTATTTGCATTACAACTAGAAATCTCTGCAAGAATAATTGGATATTAGACACTGGGGCCACTGACCACATGATATGTGATATGTCTTTCTTCCATGATCATCCTGCATCTATTGATGTTCAGATTAATCTACCAAATGACAATAAGACACATGCTACTCATAAAGGCACAGTCATTCTTAATAGTTCTGTTATACTTTATGATGTTCTTTATGTGCCTGCTTTTCAATTCAATTTAATCTCTGTGTCTAAGTTGGTTTCATCAAACAAATGCATGGTCAAATTTGCATCATCTTCTTGCATTTTACAGGCTAACCAACAACAGAATGATTGGTTCTGCTGATTTGAAAGATGGTCTATACCACATGTCTATTGCTCCTGAAACTTGTACATCTCTTATAAACAAAACCAATTTCCATGTAAACTTTCACTTACCTGTAATTGCAAATACTTCAAGTACAAACTCTGTAACATGGCACCATAGATTGGGTCATCTTTCATACAATAAACTACAGCAACTGAACATTACTTCTGACTCATGTAACCACATGTCATCTATTCCTTGTGATGTATGTCACTTTGCAAGACAAAGAAAGTTATCATTTCCTAATAGTGTTTCAGTTGCATCTGCTCCTTTTGACCTAGTCCATTGTGATGTATGGGGACCCTTCTCTTTTGCATCTCATGATGGATATAAGTATTTCCTTACAATTGTTGATGATTTTAGTAGGGTCACTTGGATTTACCCTTTAAAACTGAAATCTGATACCAAGCAGTCTTTATTTCATTTTTATAACATGGTTTTGACTCAGTTCAATACAAAAATCAAAATATTAAGGACTGACAATGGTACATAATTCTCTTTAAATGATTCTTTACTTCCAATGGTATTATACACCAAACCAGTTGTGTTGAGACACCTCAACAAAATGGTAGAGTGGAAAGGAAGCATCAACACTTGTTACAAGTTGCTAGAGCCATTTTATTTCATGCTCATTTACCTATTTGTTTCTGGATTGATTGTGTGTTAGCTGCTACACATATTATTAACAGAGTTCCAACCCCTGTTTTGAAAAATAAAACACCTTTTGAAATGCTTTATAAAAAGAAACCATCTTATGATCACCTTAGAGTGGTTGGTTGTCTCTGTTATGCTTCAACTTTGACTGCACACAGATCAAAATTTGACAAAAGAGCTTCTAAGTGCATCCTTCTTGGGTATCCCATAGGTTATAAAGGGTATAGACTTTATAACCTTGATACTAAGAAAATAATAATTTCAAGGAATGTGCTTTTTTATGAGGATGTGTTTCCTTTCAAGGACCCACCTAAAACCACTGAGTCCATGTTTCCTTCTCCTCTCCCTTTTACATATGACATAGACTCAAACATTACACCAACAGTCCCACAGACACCAACAGTCCCACAGACCAATGTCCATCCAATTCACCAACAGCCACCAACCCAAACACATACAGGAAATTCACTTCCCAACCAAAACCAATCAACAAATTTTGTTCCTGACCAACACCACATTTTACCTACAAGAAGGTCAACCAGAACAGTTAAACCTCCATCATACCTAGATATATACAGCCATTGCCTTCCAAACTTATCATCACAGCCACCACCTGCTTCTAACACATCTCTCAGCACCCTTGAAACATCTGTCAAACATCCTATTTCAAATTTTTTATCCACTAAACATTTGTCAGCCAACTATGCTTGTTTCACTGCATCTATTACTACTCACAAAGAACCAAAATCATATTCAGAAGCTGCAAAAGATCCTTTATGAATTGCAGCAATGCAAAAAGAAATAGATGCACTAGAACAAACACATACTTGGGAAATGACAACCCTGCCTAGTGGAAAGCATTGTATAGGATGTAAGTGGGTTTTCAAAATCAAATACAAATCTGATGGGTCCATTGAGAGATATAAAGCTAGGTTAGTAGCAAAATGTTATACTCAAGAAGAAGGCATTGACTATTTTGAAACTTTTTCACCTGTTGCAAAAATAACCACTGTGAGGTTTTTAATTGCTCTTGCATCCGTTAAATCATGGCATATACATCAATTAGATGTAAACAATGCATTTCTTCATGGTGATCTTGATGAGGAAGTTTACATGAAACCTCCACCTGGTTATTCAAAATTTTCTGAAAATATGGTCTGTAAATTAACCAAAAGCTTATATGGGTTAAAGCAAGCATCTAGACAATGGTTTCAAAAACTTACAAACTGTTTACTTGCTTATGGTTTTACACAATCAGTGGCTGATTGTTCTCTTTTCACTCTGTACAATGCCAATACTTCTGATTTCCTGGCTTTATTGGTCTATGTTGATGACATAATATTATGTGGGAATAATATTTCAGAAATCAAAAGGATCAAAGATCATCTTCATGACTGTTTTACAATAAAGGACTTAGGTAATCTTAAGTATATTTTGGGGCTAGAATTTGCTCATTCTAAACAAGGCATAAGTATGTGTCAAAGGAAATATGCACTAGACATCCTTACTGACACTGGCTTTCTTGCTTGTAAACCTGCTGCAACCCCAATGAGCCCAAATTTAAAACTATCTGCTTCTCCTGATACTGATCTTACTGATGCTACTGCATATAGAAGATTAGTTGGTAGACTCTTGTATTTGACTATATCCAGGCCTGATTTAAGCTATAGTGTTCAAGCACTTAGCCAATTTATGTCACAACCAACCACTCAACATCTTGCTGTTGCTCATAGGGTACTCAGGTATGTTAAAGCTACAGTGGGTAAAGGTATGTTTTTCCCCAGACACTCCTCTTTACAATTATCAGCATATTGTGATAGTGACTGGGCAAGTTGTATAGACACAAGGAAAAGCATCACAGGTTATTCAGTTTTCTTAGGAGATTCTCTGATTTCTTGGAAATCCAAGAAACAAAATACAGTGAGCAGATCTAGTGCAGAGGCAGAATATAGGGCTTTAGCTAGTACATCTTGTGAAGTACAATGGCTATTATACCTACTCTCTGATTTGAAAATTTCTCATTCTTGCCCTGTGTTGATATTCTCAGATAGCATTTCAGCCATAGCAATTGCAAACAATCCTGTATTTCATGAAAGGACAAAGCATATTCAACTTGATTGCCACCTCATACGAGAGAAGATTGCAGCTGGAATAATCAAGCTTCAGCATGTTCCAAGCAAAGATCAAGTGGCAGATTTGTTCACAAAAGCAGTTTCAACTCAAACCTTCAGTCACTTGTCATCCAAGCTCAACATGAATAACATCCATGCCGATCTTGCGGGGGGGTATTAGAATATGTATTGTTGAGATAATAGATGTTGTATAAGTTGTTATTAGGAATATAGCACTTTATAACATCTTTTCCTTTATTTTATAATGCCTAGTATAAAAGGCTTGTACAAGACCTAATTCAATTAATCAATTCATTATTCTGTTTTCCTTTTCATCGTTTTCTCTGTCGTTTCCCTTCCCTCAAAAAACCCTAAACACTAATACCTATGCACAAGCTACCAAAAGCATAACATTCATCAACTAATTAAACATTGCACAAGTTCTTGTGTGACTACTTTAATATTTAAATGGGTCGGCTCATCATATTATAGGAAAATGCTACGGTTTCGTTATGGAACCATTCCGTCAGGGTTTGTAACTGTTAGATCTATTATTCCCAACGGTTACATGATGATCTAACGGTTACAAATCCCGACGGAATGGTTCCGTAATTGTAGCATTTCCCATTTATTATAACATGCATTTTCTGATCAAAGTATATAAAAATGCTTGAGGACGATAAATTAATATTACAGCAATAATCAAATCTTTAAAAAAGGGGAAATCCATTTTTTAGTTTTGTCTCATCATCACTACAATAATCATTAAACATTAAGAGGGTGATTGTTTATCAATTCATCTAGAAATTAATTGGTTTTTTTAACTATAGTTACTTTTGAAAAAAGTTAGTATAGTTAGTTGTTAGTGGATATATTAAAATAATATTTAAAATAAAATAATTAAAATTGATAGATGTAAAAGTAAGAGAAAAATGATTGGAAATTATGGTTAGTTAAAATTATGTGAGTGGATGAATAGTAAATTAAAGTTGATGTGATGTGTAAGAATGATTGGTTGGAATTATTTAATTATATTGGTAATAATGAAAATAGTAGAATTGTGTTAAACTTGAGTTAAATTTGAATTTTGATTGGTTTTTTTTTGAATTGGATTGATAAACAATCACACCCTAAGTCCTTATCCATAATTCAACCCGGAAGACCCAATCCAGCACCCATTATCCACAATCCCAGTACCGAAACACACGACCGGCTGCTGTTAATCTCTCGCGGCCCCGTTGTATTGTGCCCGTACCGATTCCATATCTGTGAAGATGATGACGATGGAGGCGATGATGGACGAGGTCGTGCTGGACGACATACTCCGGCGGCTGCTCGACGGGAAAGAAGGAAAACAGGCCAAGCTCTCGGAGGCGGAGATCCGCCGCATATGCGTCAACGCCCACCAGATTTTCCTCTCACAGCCCAATCTCCTCCACCTTCGCGCCCCTATCAGGATCTGCGGTATGTGTGTGTTGTTAGATTATTGTTAGTCATAGTTTTGATGCACTTTTTTCTAATTAGATAAGGTTACGATTTTTCTCCGTTTTGTTTGATGACATGCGTTAATGGTGAACATTCAATTGAGGTCGTGAGTACTTGGGATTATGCACGAAGGGTGTTTGATGTTTGGCGTTAATGAATCTTCGCATGCTCTGGCGATAATTGTGATTGTGGTTGTTTTGTGAAATTGAGATTGTGATTTTGAGTTGGATTTTGTACATGAGTTGAGCATGGTTGATGATAATGGATGAGATAAATCCCAATGGTTTCATTCTTAGTGTTAGCTGGTTGTTACAGATATGGATTCAATCAGATTGCTTCGTCTTGAAAACATTGTAGTAGTGATAAGATTATGATATGATTATAAGGGAATTCTCAAGGAAAATCAATCCTCATGTAATTTTAGTCACATTTATTATTGAAGATTAGTAATTGGTGAAGATTTAGAATGGCGACAATATCTGTTTCAACTTGGTATTATCCTGTCATCTTCATTATTTAGAGGCTTGTAAAAGGTTATTTGACTATGAAGTTTGTGTATCTGATTCGTTACGAGTTAGATAACCGATACAGTTGCTGTAAAATATCTTCCGTAGTCAATGATCATCAGTCTCCCATCCAAGTAGACAGCTCTTAGCATTTTGACTGGGTGGATTTAGTTCCAATCTCAATAATATACAACTTATCTGCTTATTTTTTGGTCGGTTCTGTTTTAAGAAAACTTTCGCCCTAAATTTGATATGATGTATTAGAGCATTAGATTATTTTCTACTTTTCTCCTATGCATCGACAGGGAAAGTCCGGTTTTTTCATATTTTCATCTTTTTTTTTTTTGCGTCAATCTTAGGCTGTGTTTGGTAAGCTTATTTGATTAGCTGAGATTTTTTAATAATTTCGAGCCCATCTCATAAGCTTCGTTAGGTAGCTTTTTAGATAAGCCCATTGAAAATTTTATTTAAGCTAGCCTATCAGCTAATTTTATCAAACATTTTTATCATATAAGCTAGCTTTTGCTGCCATAAGTCATAAGCTATCAGCTATAAACTCGAAATTCACTTAAAAGTTATGAGCTAACTTATCAGCTAGGTTTACTAAACATAGGCTTACGCTTGACGATTCTCATATTAATTTGTTACAGGCGATATACATGGACAGTACCAGGATCTTTTGAGGCTGTTTGAGTATGGTGGGTACCCCCTGATGCAAATTACCTCTTTCTAGGAGACTATGGTGATAGAGGCAAGCAGAGTCTCGAAACAATATGCTTACTATTGGCTTACAAGATAAGGTATCCGATAAAATATTCCTCTTGAGGGGAAACCACGAATATGCCAAAATAAAACGTATTTATGAATTCTATGACGAATGTAAGAGGAGATTTAACGCTCGGCTATGGAAAATATTCACCGACTGCTTCAACTGTTTGCCTGTTTCTGCACTAATCGACGAGAAAATACTTTGCATGCACGGAGGGCTTTCTCTGGAGCTAAATCACTAGGATCAGATAAATGGGCTCCCAAGGCCCACGGACATTCCAGATAACGGCCTCCTTTATGATCTGCTTTGGTCTGACGCTGATCCTAGGATAGTGGGCTGGGCCGATAGTGCTAGGGGCGTTTCTTGTAATTTTGGGCCCAATGTGGTTGCAATGATCTGGAACTCATTTGCAGGGGTCATCAGGTATATAATTTTATTCCATTACATGGTGTCTTAATTGTTGTTTCTCCTTTTTTTCCTTGTTTTCTTTTTAATTGGCCGACCCACTGAAGAATAAAGATAATCTTCGGAAAGTATAAACTTTTGCCTGTCTTTTCTTTCTCATATTTGCGCAACATATGGCATTGAATGTCTTTAGATGCATATCCTCTGCCACTACTTTCAACTTTCTCTACCTTTCTTTTTCATTGTTATTTTTTTTTTTTCTTTTCATGTGATATCAGTGAGGCTGAATGAATATTTCTTTTTACCTAACAAAAAATTTTCGGTTGGGAGTCATTTTCTATGGTACTATTGCATCTTCTAGCAAAATGAATAGTAATCCAAACACAACACCTACTATCTACACACATTTCTATATTTTGCAGGTTGTGGAGGATGGATATGAGTTCTTTGCTAAGAGAAGACTAGTCACGATTTTCTCGGCTCCAAACTACAGAGCTGAATTTGACAATGTCGGTGCTCTTATGAGTATTGACGAATCATTAGTATGCTCTTTTGAGATATTAAAACCTGCCTCAAGCTGTTCAAAGACGCCTCTGAAAAAGGTAAAATTATACCTCCATATCATTTCCTTATACTACTTTTTTTTTTGTCTGCAGTGGCTTATCCTGTTTTCCTGCTTCCTATTTAAATTTATCCATTTTTGTGCATTTCGCATCTTTAAGTACTTCTAGGGGGTAAAACGGATAAACTTCGCGCCTTATTCGTTCTTTTTTATATTTTTTTTTTCGTAATGGCAGCCTCCTAAAATTGGGACCATATGATAGGCAAGGAATTGTACATGAAAAAGTTTATAGGAGGAACCACAGGATTGACTAAGGGTTTGTTGGGGTTGAGTAATTAGAACAATTGTTTAGTTTTTTTCGGATTGTCATATAATGCGCATGTTAAAAATGTATTTTGTATGTAACATTATATTGTACATCTATCTACACTTTAACTGTTGTATTTTATGGGCCATCTAAGGCAATTACAACCATTTTGGAATGGGATATAGATGTAGCTGACCTGATGAACTTCTTTTTCCCCTTGTTTTTGGTTTTGCTTGTTTATATATACAGCAAAAGCACTTGGTAAAACGAGTTAAAGGAAAGAGTAAAAGGAGGCGTGTTATTGTAAATTTTTTACTTTTTAGCAATCGATTATGTATCTTGAAGTGTTATGAGTATTGCTGTTAAATTAAACGAGTCTGGTTCGGCTCGGATCGGCTCAAGCTCATTTGAAGCTCGTTCGAGCTTGGTTCGATAAGGCTCGTTAAGACTCGAAAAGAGAATTTTTATATAATTTTATATAGTTCGGCTCGTTAAAGCTCCAGATCGGTTCATTAAGGCTCGAACTCGACTTGTTAATAGTGATAAATGAGTCAAACTCGAACTCGATTTCTGGCTCGTTTATTTAACGAGCTGAACTCGTTAAAGCTCGAGATCGGCTCGTTAAGGCTTGAACTGGCTTGTTGATAGTGATAAACGAGCCGAGCTCGAGCTCGATTTCTGGCTCGTTTATTTAATGAGCCGAGGAGCTCAGCTCGTTTATAGGCTTAGTTTGAGTGGACGCCTAGTTATGAGTGGACTGCTAAAGTAAAGTACTTCTAGCTACCAATGTTTTTTATATTTTCCCCTGATTTTTGAACTGGTATTATAAGAACCATGGTTAAAAGTCAGACACTTAACCATGGTTGTTAGTCAGCCATGGTTAAACCACAGCCCGCTGGACTTCTTATCCATAGTTCATGAATATTGATCAACCTTTTGCACAATTTGTGCACTATTTATATATTTTAAAAAATAAGGATTAGCACTTCCCCCGCTTTACACACACTTCGGCCCCGCACGGCACCCGTACATGAAGATCTTTTGTATGCTTGTGTAGTGGTCCTTTGGGTAGCTTTTCAATAAATAAATTATTCTCCAAAGGCGAAGCAGCTATATTTTTTTTAACAGTAACAGCAAGGCAACCATATTTGTTCAAACAGAATTGTCCATATTTGTTCATACAGAATTGTGAACTTCCAATTGAAATGTCAGTATTTAGAAAGGAAAAATAAAAATAAAAAAAATACATCATTTCAGAGTAAAAGTATGCCTATTTTATTAAAAAGGTATGACGGATCTTGCTCAACGGTTGGCTGAATCTAGGGGTAAGTAATGGTGTAGTTCGGTAAATTACTTCACGGACCGCAAAAAACCGAACTTAGAAAAAAAAAAGAAAAAAACTAAACTGCGTCGCAACTTGGAAAAACTCAAATTGAAATCAAACCGATTTTTTTTACACTAAAATAACTGAACCATACTGCATAGAAATGCACCGTTCGACTCAGTTCTCGGTTTTGACTTTGTCTCAGCTTTTCAATACATTTTATTCAATTTGGTGTAGTTCATTGCAAAACCACGAACCGAACAAAATTGAAAACCGAACTTGTGAAAGTCTATAATCGTACTGCACCGTCATGTAGGAAAAAACCAAATCGATTTTTTTTATAAAAAATATCGAACCGAATTACACAATTTGGCTCGGTTATTCGGTTTTGGCTCAATTTTGCTCATTCCTAACCGAATCACACTAGAATTTGTGAATAGTTGAGCACTCTAGTGATAGGTGATGCATATAAGTAGAGCTGTCAAAACGGGCCGGCGGGGAGGGCCGGCCTGTAGCCCGTCGAAGCCCGCCTTTTGGCGGGGCGGGCCTATGAAATGTCGGCCCAACCCGCCCCCCCAACGGGCCGCGGGATTTGGCGGGCCAGCCCGCTATTTTTTTTTTAACTGAAAATGGTCCAATTCTCTCTCTCTCTCTATATATATATATATATAAAAAACCTGCTATCAAGAATTGTAAGGAAGCAACGCATTATACATGTAGAATTGTAAGAATATATATATATATATATATATATATATTAAATAATGCGGGCCAGCCTGCCCCGCCCTGGCCCGCGGCCCGCTCCCCAGCGGGCCTAAAAAATCCCGGCCCAAACTGCCCCTTTGGCGGGGTGGGGTGGGCCGAGCCGCGGGCCAAATTGACAGCTCTACATATAGGTCATGTGAATCTCAATTTCACTTCTAATTTTTCTTATGTCTTGCGGGATTCTCTTGTAGTATTTTATGTCTAATTCTTAAATAAATCTATAAATTAGGTCGATATAAGTGTTTTATAATTTGATATGTTGTGAATACCGAAAATAAAATCCTCCCTCTCAAGCATGATTGGTATGAAGGAATGACATGTGAATGGAATGATCATTCTCTTCCTCATTCTTATTCCCATGATTGGTATATTTTTTGAGAAGGAATGACCATTCCAATGGGAATGACAAAACTCATCTCCATGAGATTAGCCATTCCATAGTAAATGAAAGTTTTTCTCATTGCCATGTGTGTAGGAATCAATTTTTCAAAAAATAAAATTAACAAATAATAATAAAAAATAAATATATTATATATAATATAAATCATGATTAAAATATATTAAATAAAATTATTTTTAAAAAAAATTCAAATAAAAAAATTAAAAACTTACTTTTATTTATTTATTTTTTAATTAGATATATTAAATACTTATATAAAAATAAAACTAAAAAAAGCATTTATATATAATATAAAAATATATTATTTTATTTTTATATATTATTAAAAATATATTATTTTTTATATATTAAAAATATATTACTTTTAAAAATATATTATTAAAAATATATTATTGAAAAATATTAGAAAATATATTATTAAAAATATATTACTTTATGTTTAAATATTATTAAAAATATATTATTTTAAAAAATAAAATTCAAATAAAAAATTGAAAACTTACTTTTATTTACTATTTAATTAAAAAATAAAATAGATATTATTAAAAATATATTACTTTTATTTTTAAATATTATTAAAAATATATTATTTTTTATATATTAAAAATATATTACTTTTAAGAATATATTATTTTTTATATAATTTAAAAATATATTATTTTATTTTTATAAATTATTAAAAATATATTATTTTTATATTATTAAACAATATCTTATTCTATTTTTATATATTATTTTATTTTTATATATTATTAAAAAATATTTATAATTTATTAAAAGTATATTATTTTTTAAAAAAAGTTTTTATTTATTTTTATAATAAAAAATAATAATGTAATTCCATTCCAGCCCTATTCATTCTGTATACCAAAAGCATCAATGACAAAACATGTTTCATTCCATTTTTATAATCATTCCATTCTTCAATTCTCAATTCCTATCAAATTTCATTCCATCATACCAATCATGCTAGAGAATCAACTTTTCACGGAGAGATGATAGCATTATCCCATAAAAGAAGCCCTCTAACGAGTACACTTATATAGGTAACTGATGAAAGATTAAAATAATAACCCACCCCCAATTAATATCTCAACATTGTTCTGAAGCTGAAATCAGTGGCTCGTTTTGGCTTGTGTCCTCAAAATCAGCCTTTGGAAGTTTTGAGGGTTTATAATTAGTGTACATTGCGTAGAGTACCAATTGCAGTGTCCCTAGTGCAAGGCCAATCCCATTTGGTACCTGTCCAATCCATCACTAAACAATATTATTGTAACTCCTTTGCATAATTTAAATATTAGAAAAATTATAATTTTATTATCCAATAATATTTGTCAGTTGTAGTTCTGTCCGACTATTAGTTAGATTTTAATATGATATATTAACTTTGAATATGATCAATTTCCAGCCAATCCATGGTACAAAATTAGTTAATTAAATATCTTAACAGGAAAATAGGCACGTTAGACGGTCATATTTTTTGTATAAATATGGGTACTTTTTAAATTAAATGTTATACTCTAGAAAACAATATAAACAAAAGCATGACATTTCAAAGTAAAAAAATATGCATTGTTATAACAAAAATATAACATTTATAAATTTATGTTTTTATTTTTTATTTTTTATAAAACGTATGACAGGTCGACCCGCTTAATAATAAATTTTCTAATACAAGAATTTGCTAATATCTTAATACACAGTATAACATTTCTTATTTTTTACTTCAAGAATCACAATTTAGTTATCTTAAAGATAGACATTGCCCTTTTTTTTCTCTCTTAAATCTTAAATGTCATAAGAACAACAAAAACCACAAATAGTTACTTGCCAACGCTCCACACAATTTTAGTGGTTGGAAGAGAAAGATATTTTTAGCATGAATTAATCTCAGCCAAAATTAATAATATATGTATAAATAAATTTTAAAAATTTGGACCCTAGAAAGCTGGCATTGGCCCTTTGTACCAATACTAATCAAACAACGTGATGGAAATGGACACAATAAGTGGACACGTATAATTTATGATTATGATTTCAAACATCATCATAATGATTAAACCAGACGTCTAGCACAAAAGAACTATCCCAATATTGTTATATTTTACTAATTATTTCACATCGTGTTTATTAAAGAAAAAATAATCACTAAAAATGAAATTAAAACTTTTTCAAATTGCCAAATTAAACTAAATAACAATAATCAGTAAGTCGGTTAGACAATCATAATTTTGGATAAGGCTACAATCCCGTTACGGAACTATTCCGTTGGAATTTGTAACCGTTAGATCAACTATCATTGACGGTTACTTGATGATCTAACAGTTACAAATCTTAACGGAATAGTTCTGTAACAGGATTGTAGTATTTTTTCATAATATTTTACGTATTCTTTTAAATTGATATATTATATTCTAAAATAATATATATATAAATGACATTTCTTATTATAAGTATTCATTTTGTTATAAAAAATATATAACTGATCTGATAATGGTTAGACGGTCTCACACTAGAATTTATAAATTAGAAACTTTCTGTATTTAACCACTTACCCCAAGAAACCAGTCTTGCTGAAGGAAAGCATAGAAAGTCCAAACTCCACCATTCAAGAAAAAGCAAAAGGAGAGAAGGAAAGGCATATACTCTACGCTCTTGCTCGTCACCACGGTTTTCTGCATTCCTCACACCCGAAACCAATTTGTATTAATTTAATTTCAATTGCTAATTAATTTAGTTAATCTCCATTAATATATGTCAACTAATCCAGGCTAGCTTTATTTGATTACTTTACTTGATTAATGTGAAGTTTTTATCCAATAGTTTGGGTTGGCAAAATATATTAAATTAGTGATTTGATTTGGTCAAGCTTAATTAAATCTATAGTTAGGGAGTCAACTCTGCAAAATAATTATGTGGGTCATACTTTTTTTAATAAAAATATATAAACTCGGTAAACTTTCTAATTTTTAAAAACACGTTAAGCACTTGTTAAATATTTTATCTTGAATTATCTGTAGGACTTAGGACTCAACTTTTGTAAAATTAACTAATTAAGTGGGTCAATATTTTAGCCTGATAATTCGACTCTTTTGAATAACAATATATACACACATTTTAATCTAATTATTCCCAACAAATTAAAATAAAATAAGAAAATTGTGAATTAGTAATTACCATGGCTGCAAGAGGTGAAGCATACATAATAATGTTGAAAGCTGAACTCATGAGTCCAATTGCATCAATCTTTATGTCCCCATGCAACAGCAAATATGTGACTACTAAAGCTGCCCCAAAAAATAACACATTTACAATTGCAAACATTATTGCTGTCCTTACCTGTGTTCAATTAATACCACAAGAAAAAATATCAAAATCTTTCAAATTTGACAGAAGTCATCAATCAAATTTCACAATGTTAATCAGAAATATTCTATATATAANATGCACAATTACAATGTTTTCTAACAAACCGATTTTTAATTCTCCAATTTTTATCAATTGACAACAAACCTAAATCACAAAATTCCAAATACTCCTGAAATCAAGTTGAATTTCATCTAAGTCTATATACAAACATTTATTGCTGGTCCTTCCATGTGTTCAATTAACAGCACACCACAACACAACACAACCCAAAATGATTAAAATCTTCCAATTTGGGGGAAAAAAAAATAAAAATCAATCACAATTTTCCAATTTTGTTTAACAGAATTACAACATTTTCTAGAAATTTCTATTTTGCAAATAGCGATCGCCTACCAATTCTCAAATGTTTAATTATTCACAAAAATTGAAAATATTCCTCAAAGTAAGTTGAATTTCATCTCAGTAAAATAACTCCTGCCAAACAATAAGCACGAGTTAATGTGTTCATCATTTGATCGTGCAGAAAATTAGTAGCATATATATATATGCACAATAAATATTTTGATTGAAAAATTATGAGATCTCGACATATTGTTGCTACAATGGGTAGTTAATAATTTTTGAATAACAGTATATGTTTTTTAATATATATTCTAAATAAAAAACAAAAAGATCCAAATTAGTGACATACTCTTCTTCTTGGAGGAGCAAAGAGAAGAAACAAAGCTATATACACCAACTGAGCCACCACTCCAAAGCCATTAACAGTGGCAACAAGATAGCTCCCAGGCTTTATAATTCCATAGTAAGTCCACAAGCTCGAATTCAACAATGTACAAATGTACGGTAGGCTCTCAAATTCCTCGGTCGATTGATTTTTCACGATCCTCAAAAATGTTTTCCTGCAATAAATTAACCATATATAAAGAAATTTCAATTTTTCCCATTTTTCTTCTTTTTTTTTTTCAAATAAAAAAATAAAAATAAAAATAACATGTGATCATATGTTACCTATTACACCAACGATGAAAATTAGATCCTCCATGGCTACTAATTATCTTTTGTAGGAATTAAAACTAAAATGGGAAATTGAAGAAGAAATTGGATATTTTTAGAGCCTTTGCTATGTGTTGTTTTTATAGTGGTGGAGAGTTTATAAATTTATTGATAATGAAATTCTATCTTGCGCTGTTTGGATGCATGAAAGGTCAGTTTAATTTCCACGTGAAAAGCATCGTTGTTAATATAGTCAAATCGAAAAGACGGAAATAGCCTCGATGCAGTGGATGAAATGACTATTTGGCCCTGTGGTGCGTGCACGTTTTAGCAATGGAAAGGTTTGAATTTGATTGAGTAAAAGTATAAAAGTACGAGCTGGAGAATGTGATGTGGCAAATGTCACCAATCGGCAGTCGCCAGTCGGCACTCACTAGTCTTGTGAAGACTTCATAATTTGGAGGTAAATTTTGACGGATTAACACATACTCACGTTGTTAAGTAGATTTAGTATTCTTTTTTTTAAGTAGATTTAGTATTTAAATCAATACATACGTATGTAGTTGGGTGTTGATCTAACGGTTAAAATCCATGTGTGATAGTTCTGAAGTATGTTGATCTAACGATTAAAATTTCGTGAAATGACGTGAGTATATGTTTATCTGACGACTAAAAATAATTTAACGGTTAAACACGTAAAAATTATGTATTGATCATATGGCTAAAAACTCGTGTAGCTGCAGTATAGTACGATGAAAATTTCCAATTTGTAGATGGTATTTATTCAAGTTTGGGGTAGCCCAAATTATTTAGGCTAAGCTCGTTGGGCCATATAAATAGTTCTATTTTGTCAATTAATGCTAGTATAATATAGTAGCTTATCAAATTCTATTAACTTTTTTTGGTAAGTAATTTATAGGTGATAGGGGATTCATAATATAAATAACTAGTAAAACATAAAATATTTTTAGTATTATGTAGGCTTGTTTATGATATATGTTAATGCAATGAACTTAATGAATAATAAAATAAAATAGTTACTTTAAAATTGATAGATCGATGTACATATATTTGAGGCACTAATATATAAATATAATATTGAATTCATTTTATAATAGATAAATATTACCAATGTGTAATTAATAGTAAAATAGAAAAAATGTCAATTATTAATATAAGCTAAAGCTCCTATTTAGAGTTTTTGAAAATTAGTATTTTGGAACAAAAAAGATTATGTAATTAAGTTTATATTAACCAAACGACTCATCAAGAATTTGATTGATGAAACTATTGATTTCAGATTAAATATATCTTTTACTAAATGATTTAATATGTTGATATTTAGCTCAATCAATGCTTAAGTTAACGAAAGTGCANAAAAAAAAAAAAAAAATGTTTAAGTTAACACATTTAATGTATCGATTTTTTGCTCAAGCTATCTTTATTAAACACATTTTTTTTAGCTCATATCTTTCTTAGACACGATTCAGTATTTTTATTATATTATGCCTGTATGACACATCAATTTATGGATGCCACATAAAAAATGACGGCAATATGTAGAAAAGTTTAGACTGTTTCGAAAAGAAAACTGGAAGAAGTAACAATGTATATGCTCAAATCATTTTGATCAAATTTAAAAAGGACAAATTAGTTTGAATGAGATAAATTATATGCATGCTTCAAGCCAAAACTATGTTTCACTTGAAACATATCGGACGTTAACATGATCAAGAACAAGAAGATGTGGCTTGAAATATATATATATATAGATTTCAAATTTACAATTTTAAATCTTCATGTATGTTCCGATGATAATAAAAATTGAAGGATTTCAAATTCACGCTAGATAGATTTTCGTCGTTATTTGAAATTGTTCAAGTGATCAAAGTTCAATTTTCGAATAAGGCTAGATGGTAGCTTGAAATTTGTATTTCACGCTAGATACATTTGATCAAATTTTCTATTTTCAAAAGAATAAAAGTAGCAAAACCTCTTTTGATTCGAGGATGGGCAAAAGATTTCGGACAAGGAGTATGTGCTCATACATTTCTTGACAAATTGGAAACAAGTATTAACCAACGACCGTCGTTTATTACATTGCCAAATATAAAACTCGAAATGCGTAGGCTTAATTTAGGCTCCGATATCCAATTGCATGCGAACAACAGTATACTTCAAAACTTTGCGATAAAATCGCGAATCAAAGCATTAACCTCTTGAGCTCTTTCTTGGTTGATAAAGTGCCCCGTATTTTCCAAGACGACACATTCCTCCAAAAGGGGCACGTCGTTTTTGAAGGCCCCACCGTGCACGTATTCCTTCACTCCAGGAGTGGTGTACACCATGTCGAGGTCCCCCACGATGAATTTCACCGGAACTTTCACTTTTGCCCCTGTCCATGCTGTCGTCAACTCCCAATTCCTGCATCACATTTTTATTCCCCCGAGATTAAAAAAAAATCATAAAAATTATCATCAAGGATAAAAATGTCGAGTTTGATCATGTCTAGAATGTAATAAAGAAAGTCAAAATTGCATATTAATACACCACCTTTCACGTTTTTTGCAATTTAATAACTATATTTTTAATTTAGCAAATCTAATACACAACCTTTACCATATTAATTAACAAATCAAATCATGATTGACGGCTCTGGATACATAACTTTGACGAAAATAAATTTCTATAACCAGAGCTGTCAATCATGATTCGATTTGCAAATATAGTAAAGGTGGTGTATTAAATTTGCTAAATTACAAATGTGATGATTAAATTGCAAAAAACGTGAAATGTGGTGTGTTAATATGCAATTGTCTAAAAAAATTGTAAATGTTGTTGTACAAGTCTAGTGCTCGGTAGTAGTTGAGTCCTCCGGCGAAGCCCTTTTGGTCGTATTTTTGTGCGTAATAGTAGAGGTCTTGTTGGGTGAGCCAAGGAGGCAATTCGATGGCCGGATCAGTTTTGGACCCGAACGGGTTTTCTTTGGGTAGACAAGGCGGGCCCGGCTTACGGTCCGTGAGGATTTTTTTGATAACGGCTTCAGCTCCGTACGCACTCATCTCGGACTCTATTTTGCCGGGTTCCTGTTATCAAACCTTGTACTGTTAGAAGAACTAAAAAAGAACAAAAAAAAAATTAATAAGTATTTGCTATTTGCATCATTTTTTATTTTTTATTTTTTTCTTTTGCGATTAGCAAATACTTATTAATGTAACTTGCCATATATTTATCAAGTGTAATGAGAATTTGGGATACTATATATATCATATTCATTGGGTCACACTTATACAGGTGTAAATAGGTGGAGCCAAGCTCGAGCATTTGGCAGAGCTTGAACCTCTATCGAGCTCAAGTTTGACTAGTTTATCAATGTAAACGAGCCGAACATAAGCCTTAACTAGTCAAACTAAGGTAAATTTTTTAAAAAAATACGTAAAAATTCCTATTCTCAAAGCCTTAACGAGCTATAAATGGGCTCAATCTCGACTACTCATTCATCAAGCAAGTCAAACTGAACTCACAAAGGACTCGTTTTGTCTAGTGACGCATTTATGTTAAATACTTATGTGTTTGTATATGAAAAAATTCAATCCATACTTAATTCATACTCAAAATTTAATTCTACTTTAACTCAATTCCACTATCCTCAATATTATCAATATAATTAAATAATATAAACCAGTCATTGTTACACATCACATCAACTTTAGTTTACTATTCATCAACTCACATAATTTTAACTAACTATCATTTCACATTATCTCTCTCCTACTTTTACATCAAATTAACTTTAAACCATATTTTTTTTTTCAAAATTAACTCTGGTTAATCGAAAAAACTCATTTTGAGTGCATATATTTGTATACAAACACGCCATAAAGAGCTTCTGACAGTCAAACTTGAGCTCGGACCTCTATTAAGCTCAAGCTTGACTTGTATATAAATATTAGCGAGTCCAAACTCGAACCTTATCTAGACAATTTAAGGTAAAAATTTCAAAAAAAAAAAAAGTACGTACAAATTTCAATTCATGAGCCTTAACGAGTTTTAAATAAGTTCGATCTCAATTCATTGAACAAACAAGTTTGAGTTGATTTCATGAACGACTCATTTATGGTGGACTCCAAATGCTAAGGGTGTGATTGTTTATAAATTCAACTAGTTTTTATTTGGTTTGGTTTTAACTATAGGTAATTTTGAAAAAAAAAAGTGGTATAATTAGCTGTTAGTGGATATATAAAATTAATATTTAAATAAAATAATTAAAGTTGATTTGATGTAAAGTAGGAGAAAAATGATTGGAAGTGATGGTTAGTTAAAATTATGTGAGTGAATGAATAGTGAATTAGAGTTGATGTGATGTGTAAGAATGATTGGTTGTATTATTTAATTACTAGTACGTAACCCGTGCGATGCACGAGATGTAAAATTTGGAACAATAATATAATCTCACGTGCATTAGGATCGAAATTGAAATCATTAAAATACATAGGAACATTGTTGAATCATAAAAAGTTCGGTAACAATCATAAATTATTAAAAACCTCCTTGTACACAACATTATGAGTTTGATTATTTGGTAACTCCTCATTATCACAAGCTAATATTTTCAACCCCCTTCTATTATTTACACGCGAAGCAGCAACATATAATTGGCCGTGACTAAAAACGAGTTCTTCAGGAAAAGACCAACGTGCGATAAAAAAAGAGTTTTTAAAAATTGAAAAGTCAAGGCAATCAGTTCAGATTAATTAAAGGTCAAAGAATATCCGCTCCTTGAAATAAAGACGTGTGCTATCATTAACCAAATATCCGGTTATTGATATAGAGTGGTTACCAAAAAATAGAACGGCGATAAGGACGCTTCATGGAAATATCAATGGGATAAGGTCATAACAGATCGCTATACATTTTAACGATAAAAGCTCATATGGAATGATTTAATTAGATGTGTGAAAAGAACATAATTAATGAGAAGTGTGAAAATGACATAATTAATGAAAAGTGTGAAAAGGACAAAAACTTACCGATTTTGAAAAATATTTAATGTAAATCCGACATTGACCATAATTTGACCTACTATTTTGGATAAATGTTAATTCTTATTATATAAGTATAGATATTGATAAAATTAGAGATAGTGGGTTAGATTAAAATTTAGTTAAATTTAAGTTTTGATTAATTTTTTTTTTATTGAAACAATATCTAATGGCCCCTTAAATGGAAAATTGTTGGCCAGACAGTAAAGAGACAGCGTGCATGATGAAATATTTTAAATGGCATGTGAATATAATAATACTTTTTACCAGCTGGTGCAGATAATGATCATTATGATTTATGATCTATCTGCCCTTTTACTCTCGTTGATCAATGTACTTCATCTTTTCCAATGGTTCGACCTAATTTACTTCGACATTTAGTGTGTCTATAAACTTAGCGTTGACTTCTAAATAATCGTAATATAGTTAGAGAAAAATAATAAAGGTGTCCACAAGCTAATTCATATATCTTACAAACTTAATCAAGTTCGAGTTTTCACAAGATGATACGAGCTCACGAATACATCTTTTTGTTTAACAACCATAATCACAATTCACAACAAAAGATATATTAACAAAGATATATTAACAATTATAGAGAAAATAAAAATAATAATAATAATAACAAATGTGGAATTAAAGAAATTAAATTAAAACCTGGAATCTGCACATATAGTAATCTTCACCAAAAAAGGCGCGCATGCCGTCCACGGGTTTGACGGTGGGATGCCTGGGCCTAAACGGCACCGTTAGCGCCACGTAAGCCTTGACCAAGTCCGGCCTGAACAAGCAAAGGTACCACCCGATCATGGCGCCCCAGTCGTGCGCCACCACGAAAACCCCTCCTCCGCCGCCGGTGAGAGACTCAATCAGCGCCACAACGTCGCCGGCAACGTGGAGGCACGAGTAGGCGGAGGGGTTCGGCGGCGCGTCGGTGTCCCCGTAGCCGCGGAGGTCGGGGGCCACTGCGCGGTAGCCGAGGGCGGCGAACGCCTCCATCTGGTGGCGCCACGTGTACCAGAGCTCCGGGAAGCCGTGGAGGAAGAGCACCACGGCGGCGCCGGCGCCGCCTTTCTCCGCCACGTGCATATCGATGCCGTTGACGCGTACCGTCCGGTGCTCTATTCCCTCCATCACACTCTCTTTCTAATTTTGGAAAGTGGTACAAAGACAATTAATTTGAATAGACTTTTGACTTCGAATTGGAATATGTGAGGGACAAGTGAAAAATATATATGTGGGTCAATTTATAAAGGTGTAAACGAGCCCACCCGAGCTTAATATCCTGATACTCGAATTTAAGTCTTTGAACCGATAAAATCTTAGTCTGCTGTTGATTTTATCGAGTCGAGCTATAAAAAAATCAAAAATGTATTTTCGAAAATTAATGAGTTGAGTCGTTAACAAATAAACGAATTTCAGCTTGAGCTTGACTCTTTTATGAAACAAATATTCATATTCAACTGAGTCGAACCGAACTTACGAGCGACTCATTCTATAGAACATTATCCTTATCTATTGAGTCTGTTTTGGGTCAACGCTTTGCTCGAGTTCGAGGACTTCAATTTTCAACTTAAACTCGAATTTGAGTCTGTAGTTTGTAACATGTATATGTTCGAGAATTCAATAAGTCAGCTTGAATATTTAAAATATTTAAATATTTAATTATGTCTAAAAATATTTAAATATTTCAATTGATTAACTAACTACTAATTATTTGTCTAATATTGTGACAAACAGAAATAAAGAATATCTAACGCAGCAGATAAATAATTTCAGGCATTAGAATTGAAAAAAGTAATTAGAGTAGAATACTAACCTTTTTATATACATATTCTGTTGGTCCATGATTCATTTAATTAGTGCATGATTTTAGCAACTTAACTTTTGAGGTTGTTATAGTTAAATTCTTATTTAAATAATTTTTATTAAAAAGTTATACTAACATTTTTTTTCTAAATGTTTGCAGGATGATGATAGTGTAAGAGGAGGTGCTGGAATATAATTTTTAATCGTAAATTTTTTTATTTATAATTTGAAAAAACTAGTTGAACTCAAGCAAAAATTGGCCCAATCTTTTAACGTTTTATTTCTGCGAGTCGGGACAAACCTTAAACTGCTTGGTTCGCGTCGAACTAGAACTCAAACAATGGCAAACAAATTGAGTCTAGCTTAATAAGGTACTCCCTCCATTTTGAAATATAAGGCGTATAAAGATTTCTCATTTTTTTGAAATATAAGGCGCGCTCAAAAATCAAGACAAATTTTTGCATTTTTTTCCAAATATATCCTCATTGTGTTGAAATTAAGGAAGTGTGGAGTGGTTGTGATTAGAATAAATAAGGTTAATTTAGTCAATTTATTCATTAATTAATGTCTCCTTAATATTTGTACATTCCTTAAATGCCTTATATTTCAAAATGGAGGGAGTACTAATTCTGTGTGAATTACCTTGCTAATTTATACATATGAGGTAATGAGATTTCATGTTCCACTTTCATAGTTCATACAGGTGTACACTAAAATGAAATACGAAATAAAACACGAAAAAAAAATAAAAAAATCTATGTAGTCAATTTGGGTAATAAATGAGACGGATGAAGAAGTAGAGTCTACAGAAGCACTTAATTTAATTTGATATCTGCAAGAAATTAATATGGCGTGAGAACTGAGGAGACAGTTGAACAATGAATGCTTTCATGGTCACAAATATGAATGCAATTAATTTAGCATTCAGTTGTGCTGTAAAGTGGATACACCTTTTAACTATTCTGATGGGCCCTTGTTGGGTATATCTGTTGTTGGATCAATGTGTGAGTTATGGTATTCAATTGGGCTTCTTGGTTAGTGGATAGGCTAGGCTTATAACGTCATTTTCTTTAACAAAACGTACACAAGCTACTTCAAATCACTTCTCTTTTCATTTTGTTCATCAGCTTTTTGTCTTTCCCTTCCAATGAATTAGGCATTTAATAAAAAGACAGATATGAAGAGATTGTGTCTTGTACTAAATACGAGCTAAGAAATAGATTGTCACGAATAAATATGCGCAAAGTCAAATCATTTGTAACTTCCAAGAAGCCGAAAAGTACGATAAATAGTACGACGTGTGACTCGATAGGTAAAATAGATATTTGGAGCATTTGTCTGTAAACAGGCGCAATTATGGAGAACAATTTATCGATATGGATGAATTGAGTTGATTGTGCAATCGAAGAACACTTAAATACGGATTTAAAACATTCGAATTGTTTCCATATTTATGTATCAGTTGTGTTTTGATTCTCTTGTTTTACTAGGAACTAGTACAGAGCACGTGCGATGCACGGAGTGCACAATTTTAAGGCTATTTATCCAGACTTATAATTATATACATGAATAAAGAAAAATGTACGGGATATATATAGTACGTGACCCGTGCGAAGCATGGGATATATTTATTTGGAGAATATTATATTATAAGATGCAATATTCAATAAAAGTTTATAATACGCAAGAAAATTGTACAATGTTCAATAAAAGTTTTATAATATTCAAGTGGAGTCTTAAAGTCTCTTGTACATTAAGACTACTGACAAAATAATATTTTAATCAATGAGTTTCCTTTCCTTGTAGCCAAATTGTGAATGTGATTTGAGGAGTACAACAAATCGATATATAGCTGACTTGCTTTTTTCATTATATTTTTTTTTTCTTTTTTTTATAATGAATTTAAAGATATTCTAAAATATAGCAAAAATTAATTTTTTTATTACAATTAGAAATTTTACTAAATATAGACTCTCAATCTATGGTGTTAATCAACGTTTAAGTCTAAAAATTAGGAATTTTTACTTCTTTTAATCAACGTTTAAGTCTAAAAAACAATAGAGTTATTATAAGTTTTTTTCTACACTTTTAAAACATTAAATATGAGCATGTTATGGCTAGCTTATAAAATAATTAATATTTTATCTCACTAAAACATTTATACTAATAAAAATTTAATTTTAGCATATAAATTTATCCCTTGATATAAGATAAAGTAACAGTTTTACTTATTGTTGTTAACCATATAACATTTAATTATTATTTTATTATATAATAAAAAAAGAATATTGTTAAATAGTGTAGTAGAATTGTTATAAAATTATCTGATTTTTTTTTTACAATATGGATTTAATATTTTTTTATGATTTGATAATATAAACAAATCTATACTTAACTTTGAAAAATAAAACAAATAAATACTTTAGTAAGTATTTAATCTATACTTATATTAAAGGGAGTCCTATTTACCAAATTAAGTAGCCAGAAAAGTCAACAGCATTTATTACATTACTATTTCCGTATTATACAATCTATACTTATATAAAGGAGATTCTATTTACTATATTTTATTATCCGGAAAAGTCAACTGCATTAAATGTCATTAATATTTTGGTATTATAATATTTTATTTATTTAATTAATTTATTTATTTGTTTTATTTTAAAAAGGTAAGTATAATAAAAAGTTTTTAATAATAAAAAAATCAAAAACCAAATAAAAATGTACACTTTGACTTATTTGATTATATTTGGCATTTGATTATACCAAATATATTCCTATTTAGTATATATATTAAATAATTACTAAATTATTTATTTGTTTTATTTGTCAAAGTTAAGTATAGATTTGTTTATATTATCAAATCATAAAAAGATATTAAATCCATATTGTAAAAAAAAAAAATTCATATAATTTTATAACAATTCTACTCCACTATTTAACAATATTTCTTTTTTATTATATAATAAAATAATAATTAAATATTATATGGTGAACAACAATAAGTAAAACTATTACTTTCTCTTATATCAAGGGATAAATTTATATGCTAAAATTAAATTTTTATTAGTATAAATGTTTTAGTGAGATAATCTATTAATTATTTTACAAGCTAACCCTAACATGCTCATATTTAATGTTTTAAAAGATGTAGAAAAAAACTTATAATAACTCTATTATTTTTTAGACTTAAACGTTATTTAACACCATAGATTGAGAGTTTATATTTAGTAAAATTCCTAATTGTTATCAACACCATAGATTGAGAGTTTATATTTAGTAAAATTCCTAATTGTAATAAAAAAAATTAATTTTTGCTATATTCTAGAATATCTTTAAATTCATTATAAAAAAAAAAAGAAAAAAAACTACAATGAAAAAAGCAAGTCATCTATATATCGATTTGTTGTACTACTCAAATCACATTCACAATTTGGCTACAAGGAAATGAAACTCATTAATTAAAATATTATTTTGTCAGTAGTCTTAATGTACAAGAGACTTTAAGACTCCACTTGAATATTATAAAACTTTTATTGAACAGTGTACAATTTTTTTGCGTATTATAAACTTTTATTGAATATTGCATCTTATAATATAATATTTTTCAAATAAATATATCCCGTGCTTCGCACGGGTCACGTACTATATCTATCCCGTATATTTTTCTTTATTCATGTATATAATTATAAGCCTGGATAAATAGCCTTAAAATTGTGCACCCCGTGCATCGCACGGGCTCTGTACTAGTTTATATACTAAATAGGAATATATTTGGTATAATCAAATAAGTCAAAGTGTACATTTTTATTTGGTATTTGATTTTTTTATTATTAATTTTTTTTTATTATACTTATCTTTTTAAAATAAAACAAATAAATAAATCAATTAAAAAAATAAAACATTATAATACCAAAATAGTAATGGTATTTAATGCAGTTGACTTTTCTAGATAGTAAATGTAGTAAATAGAATCTCTTTTATATAAGTATAGATATGATATTATATTATGTTGCTCAAAATAGTAATGCATTTATTGCATTGACTTTTCAACTTACTAAATTTCGTAAATGGTACACCTTATAATATAAGTATAGATTTCGCTTGTATCCTTATAAAATTCTCGATATTTTTTTAATATCATTTCTACCGTTTTGATTAAATAAAAAACGAATAAAAGAAAAAGAAGTGTTTTCATACTCGTGTCTTGTAAACAACTACTACCTTTGTATATGTTAGAACTAAATTAGTAAATAGAACTTTGTTCATTGAGATTTTTTGTCACAAATTTTTATCTCAAAATAGTCATGGAAAATAGTAATAAATAGAGATAAAAATGAAAAAATTTTCAACGTCTCCGGAAAAACATGGTTTTGAACATGACACTATCATTTGACGTGAATAACATATTTTTCTCGCAATCATCGTGTTTTGAAGTAAAATCGTATACATATACATAGGGTGTTTTATTTATATACATGTCATTTATCTAACAAAATAAAACCCGAGATTAAATATGTAAATGGAGCAAATGATGTGTTCACTTGTATTTCATTGTTGTGGATACGATAAAATGTAAACGAATTTGAAAAGGCGATAAAATATTTATTTGATTATGAAATTCATTGTAATGTTGTTTAATATTTTAAATATGGTAATTTAAATCAAACCAAAAAAAAAAAAATGATGCATGATTCAACCATGTCACATATTCACATCGATTATCAATTAATTTTTTATAAGTACCTTACAATCCCTCCCCTTATATATAATTTTTGAATGTGCTGACTCCAAATAGCAGACTCGCATGCTTCGGGATCCTATGTAGCAAAATTTCATGCTTCATTGTTTGACTTTGATAATTTTAATTTACTACCAATCCTAAAATAATTAAGTTTGAATTATCCATAAATATGTTAATTAATTATGGTCATTTTAGATGTATTAATTGTATTTGAATATCATTTTCTATTATAACCATTTAATTGTAAATGTATTTAAAACTTAATAACTTTTGTATTTTTATCAGTTTTAACATACATAATATATCAAATTAATCATCTCTTGATGATTTTCGATTTGACATCTATATTGTATGTATAAAATAAATAAATTATATTTATTTTTATAATAATAATAAAATTATTTATTAATATTAATTAAAATAATACTAATTAAAAAATAAATTAATTATCAATTAATATATTTATGTTTAAAGTAGTTTCATGATATATAAATTAGAAAATTATTATAATATAACAAATATAAGTCGCACAAGTAACAAGTGTCATTATAAAATATATCTCTACTATATATATATGAAGAAGTTATAGGTTCTTAAATGGCGACAAGTGGCGACTTAGTTGCTTGACATTTGGCATTTTACTGTGCAATTACTAAAATGCCCTTTTTTGGACAAACGCAAAAACAATACCACTTACTAATTTTGAAGGTCAATAAGGTAAATTGATTGTTTTTTGTATTTTTGGAGATTATTTGACTCTAATACCCTTCAGTATTCAACTTTTTTAGGGTTGTGAAAGTCATTTTATATGTATTCTTTTTCTTGTGCAGGCTTCTTGCGGGATTTGCTCCCTCAAAATCTGCTCGGAAAAGTGCTTGTTGTCCTTCTGAAAAGACAAAAGGCAAGAGAGATGAGAAAAGCAATTCATTTTTCACCATTTTCAAACCCTTACCCTTTTTTTTTTCTCTCCCAATGGATTCACGTCAGGCGGCCCCAAACACCACCACCAGCTTAGCCTTCCGCCGCCACCTCAACCACCTTAGAAAGACGATGCCTCACCCGATTAGACTACACCCACCGCCGCCATCGCGAAGGATTCCATACCTTCACCGCAATTTTCAGCAGAAAGGTCTTAATGACACGCATCCCGGCCACAGCCACCACCAGTGACCGAAATCAAGAAGTTCACAATTCTCCATGGAGCCGAAAAATCTGGCACCAGCATCCTCCGAAGAAATAGTCCGAACTGGTCCCAAATTATCTTTTATGGCTGCGAGCGAGAGAAGAACTATGAAGAAAAAATCAACGAAATATCTAATCAGATCGCCAATGAACTCCGTGGACGATCAGGTTTTGAGTTGTATTTTGTTCTGTAATTTTTTATTTTTGATGTTTTGGGGGTAAATTTGGAGTATTTTTTTGGTTTTATTTAGATAATTGGGTCTCTTGTTTATCGATCTTGGTTTTCATTTGATTTAGGGCCAGCATCTCGGACGAGATGGCATCTCAGATAGTGTAGCAACGGAGATCAAAGGGGCTGCAAAAGTCAAAATTCGTTTTCCTCTGAGCAATTTCACGAGCAGGTTCTGAATCTCTCTCTATTCATTCGATTTTCTGGTGAGTTTCTTATTCTTTCTTTTACAGTCATTTTTGTTAGTTTTTTTTTTTTTTTTTCTTTTTTTTTTTTTTAACAATAGATTATGATAAATTATAGCTAGGGATCTGTTTTAATGCGGCTTTGGTTATGTATAGCTACAGTTTGGACAACAATGGCTGGAGTAGAACTGATGTGGTGATGTATAACTAAGTTGTTTGTTCATTGATCTTGTTCTCTTGTTTGCTGGTGCATTTGTTTTGTTTGATACGTGGTATTGATCATTAGACAGTGGTAAGGAAGCTATGGACGTGTGTATGCATGACCGAACTTCATTTGCTGGTATTTTAGCTGCGATATATCTTTTTTTTTTGCAGCAATTATAGAGATGGAGGATGAATTAGCTCAGTACAGGAAATCGAGTGATGCGCCTCAGTTGGAGGAGTTCATACCGAAAAAAAAAAATCTGTAAAGACGAAGTCGAAAGCCATCGAGATAGGGAAGATAGCTGCAGAGATCAAATGAACTGGATAAGCTTTGTGCAATTTTGGAACTCTGCCGATAAACTTAGAGCTCGATGATACGAAAAAAAAAAGTTATGATTTATAAATTATTTTTTCCATACTCATATTTTTGTTGATTTGTGCGTGTACTAACACATTTCTGGTGTTTTCTTTTGTCTATGAATGGAGAACTTAAGAGGAAACAAATTCACTTATGACGGATAATTTGTTCGGAATGGTAAAAGCAGGACAGTCTCAGATTTCTCTCCACCCCTCATTCAGCATCAAAGTGGTGTGGTTGTCTATTTTCCGTTTTTCACTAGGCATATAGAGTGTCTTAATTCATCTACGTCGGAAGTTGTGCGGAAAATAATTTTTTCGTCATGTATTAGAAACAAAGAACAATAAATAATAAAAATGAGAAAGACGTCCTCTTTCTGGTTGTGCAAACTCTCTTCAAAAATCGTTGGAAAATTGAGAGGTTAATGTGATTGGCTTTTGGAATATCAGTTCATAAATCAACCATCTTTATTATCTTTCAGTTTGATTATTTCTGTTGCTTTTGGCCCTCCTGCGTTATCCTATGTTTGGCTCATATTGGGGTGAGGTAATTGAAATTGTCAAATTTGTGAAAAGATGATTACTATTTATCGATAGATTTGTGTATTTTGAGTGAGATGATTGTAGTGACTGATTGTCTATTGTTGTGTGAGTTTATGAGCGAAGTTAAAAGATATAGACAAAATCCAATCTTGCGAGTTAAATTCCTTCGAAAAGATAATGAAAGGATTCAACATTCCTCCCTTTTCTTTACTTTTTTTTTTTTCCCTTAATTCACACTTCTTTTTTTTTTTCAATTTTGTTAGTTCAAACTCAACTTAGCCTTCTAAGATCTAATTATTCATCATTGGTTCCCTAATATTCTTACAGAATTTATATCCGAACAATTCTCCTGAGTTTTGCATCTGAGCTTGAGGGTCTGTGTTGAAAATAGAACAATCAAAAGATTATAATACATAAATTTCCTGGAGCATTACAAACTTGCTTGGAACCCGAATCCTAAAAGCCCAATTCATGTACATAAAGTAGTGCAATTGGTGAAAGTTATTTCAGTATATTTTGTCATTGGTTAGCATTTGTAATTGTTTCTCTTGAGAAAAGTTATTAGCACTTGATGTTAAGTGCATTTTTCGCTACAGACATACGATGAACTGTCTGTATTGTCTATATTAGCACTCGATTGTCCACCACTGGATGTATGTTAAGAGGGAGTGTTGTGAGAGAGGGAGAGTTTTATGGTGTACCTATCATGATTAAGTTTGTTAACTTTTTTTTTTTTTTTTTTTTTTTTTCAAAATCGGTAAATGGCTTTAGGTGGATGCTGGTGGTCCTTGGTCGAGTGCGCGCTGGTCATGCTTCTGTGAGTATTGGCACTAAGGTGAGTAGTGATAATTTTGCCAAAATTTAAACATGCAATTTTATTTTTATAATGTGTTTGGTTGAGCAAGTGACTCTTATAGATTACAGGATGTGAATGTGAATGTTTATGATTTGAAGAATCTTGTTTTACTCTGTTTTGTGTTTTATTACTTCTCTGCTTTCTTGTTCGTAATGACACTGCTAGCTTAATTTATTATGATGATCATTGCTGAATTCGAGATCCATGTGAATAATGTTATATGCAGGTATACGTACTGGGTGGAATTGGCGACAAACAGTACTTCAACGATATTTGGGTTCTCGACATCAACACATCCTTTTGGGCTCGACTTAATGTGACTTGTCAAAAATCTCAAGGTCGATTTTGACATACGGCCACCGTCACAAATATGTGGATTGCCGTGTTTGGAGGGTGAGATAACTTTTGATGATATTCGTGAAAAATTTATTGGGTTTTAATTTTCTTTTAGCCAAATAGTTGTATGTAAGAATATTGCCAAATAGCCAAATCGCTTCGTGAAAAATCTGTTGTAGGCCTGAGAATGCTCAATTTTATTTTGATGAAAGAGTCTTATACATTATATATTAAATAGGAAAAATCTTATGAACGTTATTTTTTATTCGTAAAGCTTTTGATGGTTATCATATCTACCTGCATCATGTTATTTTGATAATGTGGCTATGTTCTGCATAGTTCTATTTGTTATTTTCAAATATTATGTTGTTTTATTGAAACCATGCGCTAATTCTATGTGCATATGCTCAGGGAGTGTGGTAGGTGGTGCTTGGCTAATTTTTGCGTGATTTTGAGGTTGAAAGTGGTGACACTACTCCGAGGATCGAGGAGGTACCTGCCGTTCGTGATGTCGCGGGCGAAGGAGATCGGGGAGAAGGACCGGTGTGAAGATGTACACGAGCGACTGCTCCTTCAACGACAACGACGAGGATGGTAGTGGAGGAAAAGGGTATTTGGAGTTTATTTTCAAGAGAAACGTATTTTGTTTCGAGCGTCTAGGTGGGTTGCTTTGTTTCAGGTACAAACATGGATAAACATATTTTTTTATTCATTTTTCGATTTGTGTCTTGGACTGGGGGGACGGTCATGATTAAATATTTCATTTTTGTGTTTGAAAAAATTGGGATTTAAGCCATGAAATGAAAAATTATCGTTTACGGTTCTTTTGTTTTATTTTTGAGGTTAAACGACACTCTTGAGTCTTGATACATCAATCGCTTCATTGAATTATAGACGTAAATTTCGAGTAGGATTAGATAAAAGCAACTGACTCTTGATGCTTTTTATATAGGATGGGCCATGAAAGGGGCCAGCTGGTAACAGGCGACCTATTTTTTAGGTGACGCAAGAGCTTCGGCATGGGGCCCATGACCTTTGCAAGGGATGCCACGAGCATGATGCCCTGCTTTAATCTGTAAATGTTTTTTGGTCTTGTTTTGGGTTCCATTGATGGTTTAACTGTGTTTTATGCAGTGATCATGTTGCGGATAGAATTGTGGTGATATATAATTTGTGTAGTAGGACCTGGTTTTCTTTAAGTTGTGTTTCTTCTTTATACCAACAGTTTTCTATTGTTCCTGTCCACATTATTATCATATAGTCTGAATGTGTTTAATTTGTTCGGATTATAATTGGGGCAGTCTGATTTTGTGAATAAAAAATATGTTTAAACCCTATTCATAGTAGTTGATATGTGGGTATGTCAGTAGTAATGCAAGAATTTTAATATGACACTTTTAATAACAGGATGATCAGCATAGTATAAAATTTAATTATAATAACAATCAAGCAAACAAATATCACATTTTCTTATGACCTTTGGAGGCACGTGATTATTTCTAAAATATTCGCCTTTTAGTGTTAAAATTGTTATGCTATTACTACTGATGATGTTTTGTTATTAACCAATTGCATAGTTGCAGTATGTGATCACATAGGAGTGTTCAGTAGTTTGTATTTATTGAGATATGCAGAATTGTGTGTGTGTGTGTGTGTGTGTTTGTATATGGAGTTACTATGAGTGTTGAGCTTTTATGAAACTCTTCTCTTCACGTCTTTAAAGAAGAGGAATTCAGAGGGAATCTAGGGAATAATCAGTAATATGAGAAAGGATCTTGAGACAATGTCAAATTAACAGGCATAATATATGTAAAGATATGCAAAAACTACCCAAAAAGCTGAAGATTTCATTCAATGTAAAAATGGGAGACTTTATATGTACTCAGCTGAAGATTTCATTCAAAAAGTGAGAAGTTAAAATACATTATATAAAATTAAGATATAGATGGTTTTATGGTTCGTTTTAATGTGATTTTTTTTATTGTTCCTGTCAATGCAATAGTTCAATAAAAAAACAAATGCAAACAAAAAATACAAAATTATGACTAATAATTATTACTTAATTAACAGTCGGCTATATCCCAACAACATACGAACATTAATTTTAAACCTCAACATGGACACAATAAAACTATGTGTAAATTTATCGCCAAGTACTTTTTTGTTATTAATTTAAATTGCGCAAAAGAATTACAAACTTATTCAGAGAGTTTATGAAAGTCAAACTTTGTCAAAATTTATTCAATATAAACTTCATTTGTATCAAATTTAGTAACATTGTTTACAAAATATATATATGAATGATCATTCTGAAGGCCGAAAGAATACAAAGAGGATCATGGTTATGGAATAGCTGGTTAACTGTGATGCCTTTTTTTGCTAAATGTGTGAAAGTTGAAATCAGGGATGGTTCATCAACAAGAATTGAAGATTTGAATTGGGTGCCAGAGTTAAAGAAGCCACACCCTTGTCTGATAGAAATTGCCAGGGGACATTTGATATGGGTGAAGGACTTGATTTCTAATGATGGGAAGGAGTGGAATACATGGCTGGTGGATCAGGTCTTTGATGCTGAAGACAGCTCTGCAATCCTCAACATTAAAACTCTGAATCCATCAAAACAGGATAGGTGGCTGTGGGGCATCTGCCCTAAGGGTCAGTTTTCTGTTGCCATAACTTACAAGAACCTTGCAGCCAAGAAAATCATTCAGCTGGACATTCCTGAGTCAAGCTCAAGTGCCATTAACAATAAGCTGCTATATAACAGATGCTGGCAACTGAGAATCCAAGGAAAGCTTAAACATTTCCTTTGGAAATGCATCACTAACACTCTACCAACTTCAGTAAACTTGAGGAAAAGAGGAGTGGACATTACACCAATTTGCACAATCTGTGGAGATTATCCAGAGACAGTAGAACACCTGCTGTTTTCTTGTTCAAGAGCAACTCGGATATGGGACAAAGCTCAGGTGCAATGGGATGGGCTGCAAAATCTGACACACTCCTTCAAAGCTTGGTGGAACCAAATCAGTTCAATCACACAGTTAGAGTTAGTGAAGGATAGAATCCAATTGTCCACCTACTTGCTGTGGTGGCTTTGGAAATCCAGAAATCATTGGGTGTTTAACAAATCTTTGATGCCGGACCACATAGTACTTGAAGCTGCTCATAAAGATTGGCTTGACTTCTCTTCAGCTGCCAGTGTTCCATTAGGTGGTGTTGGATAGATTTTGTGTGTCTGTTAGCATTGGTTAGGTTGTTTCCTTTTCTTTTCTGTTTTTGGGATTATGTATTCTAGCTAGGCCTTATGGCAGTGGTGCGATACGTAGTTCTGTTTTTTTTCCTTTTCTTGTTTTCGACTTAGAGGCTCTAGGTACTTTCATTAGTACCTCTCAGTTTTATTTTTTTCCAGTTGGTAGGGCTTTGCCCATTGTACTCGAACTTGGTTCGCGCTTTTTAGTAATACTACTCCTATCGTTCTGGCAAAAAAAAAAAAAAGTGATAAAAAAATTTCACTATATTTCACACTAAATTTGAGCCGGCCGTGCGTGCACGGCCGTAAGACAACTAGTAATAAAATATATATTTTTGTAAACATTTGAAAGCCGATTTATTATAAAATATATAATAAAGCCGATTTTAGGGCATTCCCTCGTCGAATTTTAGGGTCATTAATCCCATCCTGAAATTTCCAATGGCAGGCGCTTCATTGTCCCCAGCGACGTCGTCTTCTTCCTCCGATGCTTCCCGTGGCCGCCGTCGCCGCCGCCACCATCGCCGCCATAAAATAGACAGAGAGTCTCTCAAGGTGAGCAAAAAGAGCCGCCCTCGAACGAAAAATCGTCACCGCAAGCGTCATTCATCATCTTCCTCTGAAAGCTATGCCTCGTCATCGTCCTCCGAATCTTACAGGTCGAGAACATTTGACTGTTTGTTATGGCTTTTCGGATCCTGGTTTTATATTCTCCCATTTGTTTCTTCTTTTCTTTTGATCTTTTGCTATGGTAACTAAACTCCTTGTTGATGCATTTGGTCGTCTGCCTGTAATTTTATGTGGATCTGCAGCTCGAGTTGAATACTTCTATGTCGAGGACCTGATTAGAAAATCAAGTAGTGCGATCTAACCTTAGCTTATAATTATACTAGACTTTATAGTTTGGTTAGCTAAACTAGATGGTATAAATGCTTGGAAGTAGTTTTGGATTCTATCATCCAAAACATTAATTGATGTTTCTAATATAGTAGAGACAGTTCTTGTGATAGTATAGCCAAAACCCATCCACCTCCTATAGCAGAATACCTGCAATCTTATAAACATAATCGAGTGGACATTATAAAGAAAAGTTTGAGCTCGAAAGCTCTAGGTCTGCTGACAGTTGTTTGTTGCCAACTTATGATCAGAATTTTGTGACTTCTTGTTACAGTATGTTTGAAACTGCATAGCTAACATTGATTTTGGTATACCAATGATATGGCGACTGATAAAAAATAAGCTTGTTGGGCCTTACGCCCCAACAACATTACTGCAATGGGCTTTAGAGGATACTTGAGTAGTTGCCTACATTCTGAGTTAGAGTGGCTAGTGAGCATATAGTTGAAGCTTGAGATTGATGAGGATCATTGCCCTTTAGTCCAATTTTTTTGTTTCATTTTGTTTTCATTGAGCTTTGTAATTGATGGGGTACGGATCGTGACTCTAACACGGCGGGTGTTGTGCTTCACAGTTTAAGGAGTTTAAAGTTGTGCTACACTAAGGTGGAAAGATTGACGTAATTATTTTATACACACCACATTCAGTCTGTTTGATATATATCTATAGAATAATGTTAAGGAGCCAACAACCAATGGGACAGCTCCATGTGGGGCTGTCCCCATGGCTCCAATGTGGGACAGCCCCACATGGAGCTGTCCCATTGGCTGTTGGCTCCGTAACGGAGCCAACAGTTGGCTCCGTAACGGAGCCAACAGTTGGCTCCTTAACATTACTGTATATCTATATACCTACAAATAGAGTTGAAACAATCTGCAGTTATATACTTTTGTAATATGTGGGTTCTATCGAGGCCCATCAGTAAACATCACATTTCTGCTGCTTTTTGGGTTCTATGGCATATTTTGAGGTGGCCGCACTAACTTTTTCAACTTGAAGATTTTCTGTATAAGCTATCTAAATAGGAGTCTGATTACAATACAAACTATACAAACTTAAGATATGAATCGAATAAAAGTTTTTCTCCAGAATGCTCCTTTATGCTCTGGTGAGAAAGTCTGTTGTAGGCTGAGCACATAAATCAAATTGTTTTCATGTCAGAAAATGCTCGTTAGCTGTGGTAAATGCACTGTTATAGTATTTAATCTATCTATATTTTTGGATCTGCTCAATAGGAAAAATGACCAATGATGATAATGAATATTTAATGTAATAACTTAAGTGCTTAAGATTTTTTGATGCGCTACTGACAACACTATTGACATGCCAAGTGTTCTTGTCCTTTTATGTTACTGTTTCCATGAGATAGAAACGCCTATATACTTGGCTTTTATTTTGGTTCTGGCTTTTGCAGTTCTTCGGACAGTGAACGCGAAGTATCCCATCATTCGAAGAAGCATAAACGGAGTGATAAATCAAAGAAGGTGGTCATCTGGAGGGGTCTTCTAAGAATCTAAGTTGATCAATACTTTATATGCATTGTCTTATATTATACTGATTGTTGGTTGCTTGCTTGCATTTGCAGAGCAAAGGTAAAGAAAGAGGGAAAAGACATAGCCATAGACACCATAAGGAGAAAGCTAAAGAGGTAGAGCATGTTATCTCTTGTGTCTTGTGATGTTGAGTTTGCTTTTGTTGTGGGTCTCTTTGCGGAAGCATTAAATTTGTTTTTGCTTTTAATCCCATGTGTTCCTTTAATATTGGGATTTTTATATACTGACTTACTGTTTTCTCGTGAAGTTAATTCTTCTCTCTCTCTGGTTTCTGCCTGTGATTCTTTAAGGAGTTCTAATAGTACTTTCTGCCTTTTGTGAATGGCTCTTGGAAATTTGGAGCTGGTGCCTGTGACATTTTAATACGACTCTTCGTTGGATTGCTCGGATGTTTGTGGCTTGGTTTTGTCCTGCCAATGTGAGCCCATACACAGAAGCAGGAGGAGAATGGTGGTCCTGTGCAACTTTCTAAGGTTTGTCTCTTTTATATGAATTGTTTCCTGGCGAACCTCACTAGAATAAACGAATAACAGACAAATAAAAAAAGTGCATAAGAAAAGAAAAGTAAAAAAGGGTCCCGGTAGGATTGTCTTTTTTAATGTGATTCCCATATATCTCATCCAGTTCTTGGGAAGGGACAAAGATGATGGTGCTCGACGCAGTGCCGTATCAGGGAAAAAGGTTTGTCTTACCTCTATAGAAGCATGTCTGCATTCAAGTGGCATTATGTGTTTATATTGTATCTAGCAACATTCTTGAATATTTGTTTCGCATAATTCTCATGGATTGGCTCCTATGGTTGACAGTAGAACCTCAATTTAATCTTACCCTTCGAGTATTGCATCAGTCATGATGTAAGCTTGTAACTTGCGCTGTGTAATACAGTAAGATCAAGTCATTACATATAATCATTAATCATGCTCTCCGAGGTTGTCATTCATACAAAGCTAAATGTGCGATTTTGAGCTCTCGCGAATCCTTTTAAGAAATAAAGTTTTTAATCGGAATATGAATAAAACCGAAAGACCCTTTTAACTATTAAAGGGGTTAATAGAACGAATCACCGATTGGTTATTAGAATTTTTCCATGCCAAAAACCTCTATGGGGATTCTAATCAGTAATTGTTCGGTCAAATATTATCGTCTAGAATGAGAAACAAGGATTTGTTGGAATATTTCTCGAGTGTTGGAAGCCCTGAAATATTACATATATTTCCATCGTTCAGTCTAAATACCAACGGACCCACCAGAGTTTTTATAGTTATGCCCATGTCCTCTAATACCAGTTCTATGATATAATAAAGTCTCCTGCACTTATTCTCCATGTGGAAAATTGTGGAAAATTGGTACATTAAAAATGATTTGCTGAAACGTTAAGAAAAAACTTGCAGGTGTATATGTGATATCCTCGACACAGCTATTTCATTTGTTGCTATTATATATGCACGTTACCACAGTATTTTATTTTTTTTATGATTATGTAGATATTGTTGAAACTTGAGAAAACAAAGGAGGACAAGACGGCAGAGAACAACCGGAATGAACTATTGAAATTCTTGAATGCTAGTTATGATTGAAGGTTCTTCAAATATCATTTGTCCCTTGTCATATTCAGTGTTCCTTGTCGAAGCTCCATCAGTGTTTTGCTAGTCATGAGAACTGAATTTGTTGTGTCTATTGGCGAATCTTGATTTGATTAGCTATCTTAGCCTTTCGTGATATGCTGGCACCAGCTGCTAAATTGTCGGTGGTAGCGTTTGTGAATGCTTTATTTCATAGCAGTAAGCATCATTATGACATTGGTCTAGTCCATTTTGATGGGGTATGCATTGAAGTGGTATATTGAGGAAACATGTCATTTGTGTACAAGTTTTGAAGTTCTGAAGCTTCCCTTTGTTGTGAGATAACCCCTTTTGGCAAAGAATGATTTTGATTTAGCTGGTCTCTAGTACTTATTCATGCTTGCATTTTCTTAATGAGTTGTTTTTGGTTTTGGTACGGTTGTCCGGGTACTTAAAGCTCTAAAACTGTTTAGGGCTCCAAACTAGCCACTGAGGTACGTGGCCACGAGTTCTGAACCACCATTTTCAGAGAATTGCAGGTTTAAGGACAAATTTCATGAACTGGCCTGAAAATTTTCTCCGGTGAACGTTGCTATGCCAGTGGTCGTAATTCTTGTTTGAGGAATGATAGAGCTCATTTTTTATAAATAAATATATTAAACACAAAAAAAAGTGTAATTTCAAATGAAAAAACTGGAAACTGAGAAAAAAGAAAAAAGTAAAGTCATACAATCCCCCGTTTACACACTAGATAAAAAATCTAAATTGTTTCTCTATGACCGTACTAATTATGTACCGGTGAGTACTTGATGTTCCGATCCTCCTTGGGCACGGGGAAAATGAAGCCGGCAGCATAAGGCACGCGGGTCGTCAGTATCCAGCGGTTTCCATCCAAGAACTTGGCTGCAGTGAACTGCTGGATACGGGCCGGCGAGAGCTCCTTGATGCCAGCCCACTTGGCCCGATGGGCCTTGTGTGCGCCTGGCCCACGGTTATTGAACTCGGTGTAAAAGAGGGTCTTGAGTGCGAAGGTATCGTTCCATGGAAGCCACCCTTGTGGCTGGATAAAGTCATCGACAAACGACTCCATGATTACGGTCCTCGAGTACTCTTTCCACGGCCTTCCGAGGTACGACTTGATCTTGTAACGGTTCGGGTAGTATTCCGGGTCGGGTTTGAAAGTACAGTTCTGAAGTACGAGGCCCGTGGGCTGACGGATGTCCTTACGTCCCTGCGCGGTTATGACGTTCTTCTGGTTGTCGAGCGGCTTCCGGACGAGCAGCGTGCAGCCTTGGAAAACGGCTGCAGCGTTTCCGAATATGAAGTCAATGGTGCCGGAGATGATGCAGTCGCGGTAGAATTGACGGTACGCGTGCACGTATAGCGTGTCTTGGTAACCGTCCATATGGCAGTTGTAGAAGATTGCTCGGTCAGCGCTCACCCGTAGGGCAACCGCTTGGTGCTTTTCTGGCCCCGCCGAGTTCTCGAACCCGATGTCCCGAGCTATGAAGTTGTCCGCGTGCACGGCTACAAAATTAACCTTTTCCGTTTTTCAGAATCTATCTACTACTATATAATTAGACAACTCAACTCGTACTATTTTCTAGTAACTTGTGGCAGTCGGCTAATTTGACCGAAGTTGTGGTAATAGACATGGCCACGGGCCGGCCAGGCCCATGGTCCCAGTCCCGGCCCGGCCCGCAATCGGCCCGTAGGTTACCGATTCCGAGAATCGTAATCGTGGCTTTACGGGTCGTTTTTAGGTCCGATTTTTTTATTTTTGGTCCCGGCGGTCCGGGACCGGGTCGGGATTGGGCCGGGACCGAGCCGGTTCACGGGCCTGGCCCTTGGTTTTTGGCGGGCCGTTTAAGGTTCACCTACGGGAGGCCCACCGACCCGGCAGGCCGGGCCGGACCCCGGCCCGTTGACCGGCCATGTCTATGTGGTAATAGATCGTCGTCATTATGTATCGTGTATACAAATAACTGATATCGTTCTACGTGACGTAATGCGTGATGATTTGAAGTATTAGATTCGTACTTACCGACCGTGGCTGTCTGGTACGTCCCCGTGCCGTCGATGAAGTTCAACCTCCCGGTGATCCTCGACTTAGTCGGGCCATCCCCGACGATCATCACGTGCGTCGAGCTACTATTGATCCAAACCTTCTCTTCATACACGCCCTCCTTCACGTAAACCACGAATGTTCGTTTGTTGTTCGTGGGCACGTCCCTCAAGGCCTCGTTGATCGTCCGATACTTTCCGCTTCCATCCTTAGCCACCACGACATTCGGCCTCATCCGCCGCGCGGAAGTGGCTGCCCGGAGCCTCCTCGTCGGCTCCAAATCAAACTCGTCCGACGACGAAAAAGTCGAGATCTCGGCCACCATAGCCAACGCGTTGCTCGTCATCTCCATGGCAGGCTCAAGGGTGGCACGCATCCGCTCGCCCGCGTCACCCGAGAAGCCCTCGAACTCATCGAGGCACGTCTCCTCGTTGGTTATTGCGCCACTGAGCCACACCTTGAGGTCGACGAGGTTTTCGGTGGTGATGTCGAAATCATCCAACTTGGCATACGAGCGCTTGAGGTCTCGGGCGGCCCAGCCCGCCAGCTCACGACAGCTGTCGAGGGCGGCACGGGCACGCGGGTCGGGCTCGGCCGCTAGGAGGGCGGCCGAGCTCCCGATGGCCTTGATGACGTGGCGGATGGCGGCTCGGAAGGCGGTCGAGATTAGGACCTTGGGGTTGGTGGAGTTGGATGAGACGAGGGCGTCTTCGCACGAGCGTTTGTAGTCGGTGGTCGAGCAAATGCGTGAAACGGGCTTTTGGGATGACGACAAGTCCGGGATGTCGTCCTCGTCACCGGCACGGATGCCGACGGTTAGGGCGACCATCATGGCGACGAGGATGACGAAGCAAACCGACACGATGCTGATTTTTTTGGAGCGTTCGTTCATTTTTCTTTTTTTTTTTTTTTGGTATTT